CAAAGCTGTGGGTACAGGGGGGCGGCCGGCGCTTCCCCTGCGGGTCTCCCCTCCGCTGAATTGCAACTCGAGGGAATACATCCTTTCTTGAAGAAAGTCCCCGTTTGTGACTCTTTTACTTAAAAACTCGGGTCTTGCTCCCCGTCAGTGCGCCCTGTGCCCCCAGCTGCCCCCTCGGGCCAGCTCTCAGGGACGGGGGGGTCCCGTGCCCAGTCTCTGGGGCCAGGCCCAGGCTCCAGCACCCCGCAGAGCTGTGCTCCGCTCACCTCCTCAGGACCCTGAGGGCACCGCTAAGCCCTAACGGCCTTGCCCCACCTCACCAGGGGCCTTGACCCACACCCATGGCCCAGGAGCTCCACTGAAGCTCAAGGGCTTCAGTCCCTGCCCAGGCTGCGCTGGGAGTGCCGGTCTCCCTGCCTCAGCGCCTCGGACCCAATCCTGACCTGCAGACTGACTTCCCGGCTCGATCATGGATCTGCCTCAGCACCATGAACTTACCTGGTGGTCTCAACTCTTGGTTGAACTTGGCCACCACCTCCGGGTTGGTCCTGCTCGCATCGTTGGGGTACTGGAGCACTGGGTCCTGGCTGGTGATGCTCCGGCCGTGCGATCCCCCCTGACGCCCACCTCCCCTTCCTTTAGGGAGCTGCCCCGACACTCGTGTTATTTTAACCTCTCTCCTGTTTTGGAGACTCCTCCTTCCCCATCTCAAAGGCCTATCTACAAAATCTGTAGCAATTTATTATCTTTAAGCTCAGTATAAAAGGTAAATCACTTCCTGGGGTGAACAGGACTACAGGAGGAACTGGAGACATGAGGAACGGTCAGTCCACGTACGAGGAATTACAGCCAGCCAGTGAGCGACACAGAGGAGCCTTTTGCTAGGAGACACTGGTGGTTCACAGTCAGGGGGAGGAACTCCGCTACCCCGACCCAGGAAAGAGCGGATGGATCGAAGACGGCAGGAGCCAGGCAGGCTGAGCTGCAACCGTCCATCTGTACAGGTCCTGTGTTTCGGTAGGACATCCTTGATTTAAAAGTCTTCCTGAGGTGCAGAGACCAGTGAGATTTCTCAGCAATAGTGCTGGGAGGAGAAAAATCTGCCACTGATGAGAGTCCAGAGCGAGCACTGGTCAGCTGGGACGCTGAGCTCTGCTCTGTGGGTCAGCCCCAGGGGCCTGCTCTGCAGGGGGCTCAGTTGCCCTGTTTCACCAGGACGTCAGACAGGTCCTCTGTGCCCTCCAGCTTCAGATTCTGGGAACAGAAAAGAAAAGCTAAGTTTGACAAAGTCAGACGCTTCCCCTCTGAGTCTGAAAGCCTGGCATAAAAAAAACCCCACATGATGAAGGTTCAGAACAACCCCAGCCCCTTCAGTCACCCTCAGCGCGTGCAAGACCAAGGCTTCCCATCGACTGTTGCTTCAGGGTCTGAAACGCTCACAACGCTTAGAACAACACTGAGCAACAAAGTGCTCGCCCCTCTGCTGCCAGACCCATGGACAAGGAAGGACAGACAGCAGTTCGGCTGGAAATCCTACGGCAGCTTAACCGCAGGCTGGCGTTCCCAGCGCTTTAGCCTGATCTATGTTCACTATAAGCCTGACACCGGGACTTGAGTTGAGAAGTCCTGATGTAGCAAGAAAACGGCCCCAGGAGCGGGGCTTTTCACTGCGCGTTTCACCCGCTGCGCCCACCGCCTTTCCCGTGTGCCCCCTGCGCTTACCTTCTCGTTTGCCAAATGCAAGAGGCAGGCGAAGGCTAAGGGGACAGACAGATTGTTAGCCATCGCAGAAGGCAGCCTACAAAAGAGAAGGGAGGAGGTTAGGATGGCCAGAGCCTACTGAAACCCGACGGATGGAGCAGGCCTGCGAGGACCAGGTCACCAAAGATTAACTCCTCCCCAGGGATCTGTTTTTCTCTACCTTTCCCCTCCCACTAGCAAAGAAATTGCCAAGCTGAAGGTAACCCGTAGCTCTCCCAGGCAAATCCAGAAAGCAAAAGAGGCTTTTTCCTCATCAGGGTTCAGTTAGCAGGTTGTAACAGACACAGAGGGGTCAGTGTTTGCCCAAGCTCAGCTGAAGTCTGTCCTCCATCTTCAGCCCAACCTTTTTCAGGGCCTCTTTACCTGTGAAGCAGTTCCTCTGTGATGCTGCTGAAGACCTTCTCTCCTGCTACCACTGACATGTCCTTCTCTTTCTCTGCATCTTCCATCTATTTAGCAAAAAGACAGATGTTGCTGAGACAGACTTTGCTCCTCCGCCTTGTGTTCACAGAAAAACCACTGCAAGTTATGCTCAGTCTGCCCCTACCAACCCCCCCGTGGGAGCAAGACTACTAGAAGGGAATCGCTGCTAAACCTGCCCAAGACTCTCTCTGCGGGAGTTAAGCACAGGTACCTGCAGGGCATTCTCTTACCCTCCGCCCGTCCTGTCCCAGTATCTGGCTCGCCCTGCACTCACCTCTGCCACTATTTCTTTCTTCTGTCCATCAGTCAAGAGGTCCCACATGTTTTTCTTCAACCTCTTCATGTCCATTTTCTTGGCTGTCTTTGCGTACTGAATTGCGATCTTATTGACCTGAGGAAACGGAGCCCAGGGTTAGTCGAGAGCAGCTGAGCAGAAGCAGCAGCACTATCCTCGATCAGGACCACAGGAACAATAAAACATGGTTCTCCCCGGGAACAAAAGCGAATGCAATCTTACTACTAAACCTTTGATTTTTAATTCCCTCCTCTTACACAAGGGTTCATCTGGGAATAAAGTGTCCAGTAGCAAACCCAGGAGATCCTGCACCAGGGAAACTGCTGTCTCTGGACTTCTAACCAGCCAAGGTGTTGAGAGGCTTTGCTCCAGACCTGCCCAGTGAGCAGTTCACAGCTCGGTGACAACACAAGTCCTTACCTTCTGGGGCTCAGCAATGAGGTTCAGCTCTCCATACATTGTGATATCGACGTTGCCGACAACCCTGTTGAGCTCAGCGTCTTCACCCTCGGGGTGGGCGGTAAGGTTGAACTCCCCTGTCTGGCCCATGAATCGAACGGAGTCATTATCATCGTCGCTGTCCGCAGCCTGATCAAGAAGAGAGACAGCAGTGAGGCCGCCCAGAGACATCTTTGAGGAGCCAGAGATGTCCTGCACTGAGATAACAAGAGAACCCAGCTCTCAGGAGGGTGGCGACACCTGCCCACCTTCCCCATGGAACATGTTCTTATTTGGCCTCTCCCCACAGCACTTGGGCTGGGCTAAGGCTAAACCCAGGGGAGATCTAGAGCACAGAATATCAAAAGACCCTTCTACACGGAAAGGTAACAGAGACGAGGGCTCTTCTGCCAGTGTGGGACCAGCCAAAACTTGGCACAAACACACTCAGAGGCAGCAGTGGCCTGGCAGAATGCTGAAGCTTTAGAAGAAATATACTTCAACGGGAGCTCAAAACAGCTGGGAGCAAACCTCGCTGTGTAGAGACGACTGCAGAGGCGAGCGATGGCATTTACTCCTACTTTAGGGCACAAGTGTATGGAAGAGGCTGGAATGGATTTTCTGCAGCAAAGTGACCGGCAAACACCAAAGACAGAATTTAGTTGATGTCATTAGAGTGAGGGGACAGGGGTGTGCACAGAGACTCCTGCAGCTTTGTCGTAATCTGCAGCTCCAACTCTTTTTCACTAGTAATTAATTCTGGACAGAGATTCTTCCTAAATTATTTCCATCACAAATCAAACATAGGCAACAGGAAGAAATCTTCTGGTTCCAGTTACCTGCAATGCAGGGCAGAAATTAGAGGTGTCATTGGGGTTGTTGTAATCGTACTCGCCGATCTGATCTTCGTGATCCAATGAGTTTTTTGGCTCAGATGTCCTCCAGAGCTACAGAGACAAGACCAGGGGTCAGGAAAGGAAAAACTCTAAATACTTCCCCAAGCAATGCCTGCGTCTTGTTCCTTCATCACCGCCCCTCCTCCCAGCCTGCTGGCTCTTCCTCCTCCTCGCATACCAGACCTCCGGCAAGCCTCTTGTAAGGCACAACAGCTAAGCACAGCTGCTTCGGCATCTGCAAGCGGGCCAGTTCAGTGACAGCCGTGCTGGCCCGTCTCCAGCCCTGAGGAGGATCCCGAAGCACTTCAAGCATTTGGTGAAGAGCAGTTTTGTGCATGGAATCATTGACAACAGGCTTTTAGAGAAGACTCTCACCTTAACACCTGGTTTGAGGAACAGCTGGACAATGTTGTTAGGGTCATAGTTGAAGTCTGTGGGAAGCGTGGTGCTTTTCACGTTCTGGCTTTCCAGAATGGATTTGGCTAGAGTTACAGACGCCTGAGGAAGGTAATAAATACCATTACCCATGAGCTATCCACTACTCGGAAGATTAATGCACAAATAAATGTTCTGGACACAGGTCTTTGTCTGAAAGGGGGCAAGTTCTGAGATGCCTCCGAAGAGGAGTTCCACGCTGGTCCAGCCAGCACACCCAGTGGCTTCTGTGCAGCATCCCGGGACACGCAGCCGGACCTGCAGGGTCCCCCTCACTGACCGGGTATAAGCCAGGAAGAATCCAGCCTGATTCTCCACCCCAAGGTTGGTGGAACTCTCTACTTCTAAGTGACCTGGAGTCAGAAGACCCCACCCCAAGGAACATACATGATGCTGGGTTTACAGAGCTAGTTTCAAAGGAGCGTGAGATGAGCTGTCTGCAGATCACAGTTCCAAGACACATCGATAGGGCAAAAGAGAAAGCGGAAAGAGGCAGAAACTCAGCACGTACCTTGGTCTTACGGAAATATGCCTCAAAGTCAATATCCTCATCCAAATTAATTTCAAACGCTATCTTTGCACTCCTTTTCTTCGTTTCTTTTTCAGAGTCAGCATCTGCTGCAGAAAGGAAGGAAACTGTCAGTGCTTTGTGACAGGGGAAAGACAACAAGCTCACTCCTAACTCCTAAGCATCTGCTCCACACAGAAAGGTCACCTACAAGAACTTGTCCCTTTGTTACAGGAAAGCAATAGGTGTTGTCCTCAGCTTCATGTTTTAAAGGGATCGGTATCTTTTTATAGAAGCAGAAAGTGTAATTTAATCTTCAGTTTTTATGCAGAAGGTGGAAAACAACAGCAGGAGCTGTATTAGTGCTAGTATCTCCTATTGCTGCCGTGAGAGACACCCCCTCAACCTGAAGCATCGTTAACAAACCCAAACAATAGAGAATGCATCAGACCCCAAAGGATCCGCATGTGACAGAGAGCCTTCCTAATGTCTGAACTCAGTCCTGCTTCCCATCTGTCTAGAAAAGAGCCGTGCAGATTTGTTCCCTTCTTTACTGTCCCTAATTTACGACTCGGATGCCACCCATCTCCAAAGATAAGCAGGACCTGGCAGTTGCCACATGTGTAGCGGAAGAGCTGCTGTCTCTAAATACATACGTTTGTGTCGAGGTCTGAAACGCCAGTGCTCCGGGCCAGCCCACATTGACAGAGTTCGGGGACTGAAGTAGGAGTATTCCCCGGGTTTCATGGAGAGGTGAAGGCACATGGTCCCGATGTCTCCCTCTCCAAAAGGAACCGCATCACTTCTGGAAAGAGCACACATGCTGCTCAGTGAAACCACTCCTTTGGCACACACCGGGCCTGAGCGTGCATTTAATATCCAGATCAGCTCTGTACAGGCATGGCCCGCTCCCTCTGCCGACATGTGTGCGGGTGTCCCGCTCTTTCATCAGCGAGCGGGACTGTGGGTGTTGCACTGTCTGGGGTCCGTGAGGCTGCGGCAAAAACAGAGGTGGATTTGCCAAAGGGCAGGCTGGAGAGTGGGGAGCAGAGTGAGCACACAAGCAATCACCCTAGGGAAATGTCATATGAAAAGGTCCTTTGGAGGGTAGAGATACTACTGTAATGCATTCCTGGATGTACTCAAAACTCGAGCAGAAAGCAAGCTATAGCCAGCTGGGAAACGTGTACACAGTCAAGTCAGGATTCCCCAGTGAGCTGCCAGAAGCTGTCACTTGCTATCAAAGCAAAGCTACCGATTTTCAGTCACTACTCACCTTTCGCTCTGGTGGACTGTTCCAAAGGAGTTGAGGTTTTCTGTGAATTCCCCAATCTTGTCTGCTACTGTACTCCTGGGACAGTCAGAATCGAAGTCGTCATCTGGCAGGGCGGGAACAGAGTCTTCCACATCGCTGTCTACCTCCGCATTGATATCGAACGCTTGGTCGCTCTTCTTAAATTTATCCAACAGGGCTGACACTGACTGTAGGAGAAAGTGCTCAGCAAAAAAATGCAGTTGCCCTGCAGCGCAACATCCCACTGCCCTGCATATTTCAGAGATCGCTTTGGAGGTGAGTACAGAATACAGCCCAAGTATCCCACCCGGCACAGGGCTAACAAACATACCTCATCGTGGGATTCTGCATCCCACTTTGTAAACTGGAAACCAGCCAGCGAGGAACAGATGAGGCGTTTTTCAATGCACTGTGCTAGCAGGGCTAGAGACACGGAGGAGAGATTAGATACAGGATGAAGCAACCAGCACCTAAAACAAGTTCCAGGCATTAAATTATTCTTAAAGCCACATATGTAGACAGCCCTTCTTGCATATATGGCAGCACAGGGCTCACTGCAAAAGCAGTCAGGCTCATTTCTCAGCAGAGAGTTCAATTGCTACCCTAACTCGAGGGTGGGCATAACGCTGGGAATCTTATCAGAGCAGCGGGGTTTGGTAGCATGTACAGGCTCAAAACGCTCTAAGAAGGTCAGCCCTTAACCTGGAGCACACTAATCTCAACCGCTGCGCAGCTCAGACCACGTATACGTGTGGTGTGACACATCCGCCGAAGGTTAAGCTACGTGTAGTGATCCAAAGCCTACAAAGGTCCTGTTTTTCCAGCAACCAGTCTCAACTTGATCAGGATCGGAGCAATGTGCCACAGAGTAGCCAAGCAGTGAACAAAAGCACAAGTCAAGCTGGCTGAGGCTAAAACGAGCATGCCTGGGAGATGAAAAGGATGGAAAGGTCTGGATGGGCCCCTTTGCTTAGCGGTTACCGGCACTCACGCTTTAAATCCATCACTTTCACAGGATCAGAGTTTGGCAGCGTGAGCATCTCTGAAGAAGGGAGAGGCACGATCTTCGAGTCAAAGAGGAGCTCGCTGTGGCAGCTTTGGGTGTGCAGCCTGGTGAGGAAAATGCCAGCTGTGCTGCATTCATCAAAAGATGCAGCTGTTTTCTGGAACATGGGATCAACCTACAGGTACAGAATGAAGCAGAGAATCAAGGAGTGGAGTAGATGGAGGGGGTGAAGCAGGTCTCTGCAGGAGACTTTGAAGTACAGATCCAAAGGGAGAATGACCCACGCAACTTTTTCAGTGAGGAGAGAGCTCTCACAGCTGCCTCAGGCAGGAGGAATACACGTGACTAGGAACAACCTTGCTGTAACAGCAGAATTCACAGAGGTGTGTGTGAATGTTAGAGCCCAAGAGAGGAATGCACAATAAGGAAAACAACAGAAATGAGAAAGACGAAGCGACAGCTCCTTTCCTCCACCAGAACACAGCTGCTGCAGCAGCCCCCCTCCACCCACCTCACATCTGCGATTAGCCTCCGACACATTGATGTTATTCAAGTTCTGCTCGATGGTTTTGAATGAGTGCTTTTTCTTTGTCTGAACTCTCCTGACAGCCTCAGGAGCGGGACTGTCTTCTAAAAGGAAAGGAAGAACAAGTTACTCTTAGAAAACTTGCTAAAATACCCTATGGAGGGACAGCACAACTTTGACTTCAGTTCGTAGGGCAAACACAGAAACCCCAGTGGGCATGAAGTTAGCCCGTTAGGTATCTATTAGCATGAACCACCAATACTTCATTGGCTGGATGCTGCATTTCTTTTTATCAACTATTTTATCTTAACAGCACATTCTTGTTTCAAAGCAAAGGACAGCAAAGCGTGAGGCGCTTCATTCTTAATGTTTCAGATTAGGTTTGCACTCAAATCTGACAGGCCAAATCGCTGAGTACAGCATTGAACAACAGATTCAGGTTCTCATCTCAACCCTCCCTGCTCAAGCACCCAGACAAACTAACTTGGGATTTCCCAGGCCTTGAAAAATGAAGTTAGTGGTACTCTCCTAGAGGTACAAAACACTCCGAAATTCATGGGTGCTATGTAAGTACACTGAGGTTTGTCTAACGCGCAGGTGGAACGGTAACAGCTTAACAGAAAATGAGTGAATGGCACACCTCCTTCTCGGTTGTCCGTGTTTTTTGTAGGTGTCGAGTCCTTGCCCAAGCCTCCAAGAACTTTGTACGTATCTGCATGGACCGCATCCACGCGCACAGCGTAAATCTTCGCACTGGCATCAAGCGTGCCAGCTGCTATCTGACAGGAGGAACAAAGGATGCAATTTTTAGTTAGAAAAAAGTCTCATCTAGAAGATGCAAAGGCAGAAGACAAGCTGCGAAGTTGAATTCCTGAATGCTCTGTATTACAAGCAAAATTGTGAACAACTGGAAAAGGATTTATTCTTAAATCTCCTGGAGAATTAGGTGCAGAGCAGGGGTAAAGGTGTGTCTTCCCAGGCAGAGCCTACAGTTTGCTTTATCAGGTCTTTTGGAAGGAATCACTGAGAATACTACTTAAAAACTTGCCAAGATTAAGCAAGAGGGAGAAGCAGAAGGGTGCAGAATTGCATCTGCCAAGTGATCTCTCTCCTCTACCTCTCCCTCATGCCTTTGTTTGGGTCATCCTCTTGGTATCGTTCTATTTTCCCAAATTACAAAGCTAAAAGAGACGAACCACAGGAGATGTCAAGTGCCCTTTCTGATCACAGAGCCCCCCCAGGAAGGCAAAGGGCCACCCACTGAAAACTTTTTTTTCCCGGTCCCTTCCTCAGTTTCATCAGCCATAAGACAGCGAGCTCAGGGGTTCCTTGAGGCCACGTTCAAAACCTCTGCCATTTGTTCATTCACCTGAGAATTCAATTCTCCCTCCTAGCATCAGTCTTTGTCCTGGCAAGTTCTTCTTCTGATCCATCCTGGATCAAAATTAGACCAGGAGTTAGCCACACTAACTTCCTTTCTTTTCCAGCCTTGTTTTGTTACCAGTTGTAACACCTAGTACTTACTGCAGAAGCCTGCCAAATCCTACTTTTAAACAAGCTCTCCTTTTGAAGGACCATAACTGAAAGAATTCAGCCATTAATTTCTGTGGTAGAAAAGGATTCAACACTGCGAGCTTCTGTGGCAAGTGACTGCTGCTTCTACCAGACATTTTTTGTGGAAGTAACCAGCTCAGTTACCTTATTTGAGGTTTGTTATCGACTAAACTTTAGGCTAAATGTCCTTTGGAAACGAAGCACCACAGCGACGAGGCAGCGACTCCTCTCACCTTGAAGTTGGTCAGTTCAGAGTCCTTCTGTTTCAGGATCTCGGTCATATAGTCTATCAGGTGTAAGCCAAAGGCATTCTTCGTGGTGATTTTCTGAAACAAAGCACACAGCTCAGAACCGATCCCCTGGCAAATGACATCCGTCAAAACTGCCTGAACCCTCACCCCGCGGGGGTATTTACAGCGGGACCGTGGGGGGATACGGTCCGTGCCACGTCCCACTTTGCTCCTGCGGGGAAGGCAGCACCAGCAGCCCAGATGTGGCCACGGCTTGGACCAGAGGGCTTGGAAGAAGAGGAGCCACGTAGTCAAGGCTCAGGGAGTTTAAAACCCCTCCCGGCCTGGCAG